CCCTCGTCTTCAATGCCCCTCTAATGTCGTATGCGGGATACATGGTTGCGTTTCCATACACCATCCCTTGCTTCACAAACAGCGGAACAATCCAGTTAGCTCACCACTGGTTAACTCCACGCTAAACACTCATAGCTGCGACATNATTAAAACATACGCGTTTTTCGATGACGGTTCGTCACTTACGTTGATGGACGCCGAACTACAAAAGCAATTGAGACTTTCGGGCACAGCACAGCCTTTGTGCCTGAAGTGGACAGCGAACACCCACCGTTATGAAGACGACTACCAGGTGCTCGAGTTGGATATATCTGGGTTCAACGACAAAAGACGTTTCACGTTAACGAACGTGCATACAGTAAAAAGACTTGAGCTTCCAATGCAGGCTATCGATGCCAGTAAGCTTCAAACCAAGTACGCACACCTTCGAGGCCTTCCGTTTTCCTCCTACGTCGACGCCGTGCCGAAGCTATTAATAGCTCTGAACAACAGTCGCCTGGGCTTAAGTCTTCGATCACGCGAAGGGTCGGACAATGAACCGGTAGCAGAAAAGACACGCCTGGGGTGGACATTAAAGGGTGTCCTGGCAGCGCAACGACGAAACTCCGGCTACCATGCATTTCACGTTTGCGACTGTGATACCGCAGCAAACGCCGAGTTACTACAAACCATTAAGGAGTACGTTCTTTTGGATAATCTGGAAGTCGTTGGAAAGGCTGGCGATCTGATATCCAAGGAAGACAATCACGCAGTGTCTCCAGAGAAAGCTTACGCATGACCCAGAACTCGCCGAGATTCTGTCATCCAAAATCGCAAATTATGTGGCTAAAGGATATGCTAAGGAACTGCCAGCCGAGTCGCTGTTAGAAAAGGGGTGTTGGTACCTGCCCATATTCCCCGTACGTAATCGGAACAAGTCACAAAAGCTTCGCATCGTCTGGGACGCTGCCGCCAAAACCAGGGGGGTAAATTCGATGCTCTTGAAAGGACCGGACCAATTGACCTGTCTACTATCTGTTCTAAGAAGATTCCGACAACGAGCAAGAGCCTTGAGTGGAGATATAGAAGAAATGTTCCACCAAGTCCGCATCAGACGTGAGGATCAAAACTATCAGCGTTTTGTGTGGTTTGCACCCGTCATGACTTTCGGGGCCACCTGCTCACCTAGCAGTGCTCAGTACATAAAAAATCTGAATGCAGAGGAGTTCCGGAAACGCTTTCCGAGAGCCGTCGGGTGTATCGTCGACAACCATTATGTTGATGATATGCTTGATAGCGTGGACACAGTAGGTGAAGCTGTCAAACTTTCCAGAGATGTCAAGTTCATTAATGAGGTGGTTTCCATATCAGAAACTGGCGGTCGAACTCCGAGTCGGTCCTGCAAGCACTGCACGTTGGTGCCAGTAAACCCGAAATGAGCTTGAGTCCTGATCCAGAGATACCAGCTGAGAAGGTTCTGGGCCTTTGGTGGCTCACCAGAGAGGATTGTTTTACATTTCGTGTGTCTCCGCATCACAAGCATGGGGATCTTCTGCGCAATCACCGTTGCCCTACCAAGAGAGAAGTATTGAGTATTATCATGAGTATATTCGACCCTTTAGGGCTACTTAGTTTTTACATCGTATACGCCAAGATATTATTCCAGAAGATTTGGCGCTCAGGTTGTGGCCAACTTCCTGAGGTGGAGACCGTAAGGATACCACGATGCTATTTCACAGATCTGAGCCACGAGTCCGAGCTGGAAATGCACGTCTTTGTTGACGCCAGCGAAAATGCCTACGCGGCCACATGCTACCTACGTCACGCCATTGGAAGTGTCATCAATTGCAGGCTGGTAGGAAGTAAAGCGAAAGTAGCACCGTTGAAGATGCTCTCGGTTCCACGGCTCGAGCTGCAGGCTGCTGTCCTAGGAGCTAGACTGGCTGCAGGGGCACGCTCTTCGCATACGCTAAACATTCGACGACAAACGTATTGGACCGACTCCCGCACTGTGCTGGCGTGGATTCGCGCTGACCACCGTCGCTACTCACCATTCGTGGCATTTAGGGTGAGCGAAATCTTGGAACTAACGGAGATGTCAGACTGGAGATGGGTTCCTTCAGCGGAAAACGTTGCCGACGACGCCACAAAGTGGCAAACAACGCCTAACATGTCAAGTCAAAACCGATGGTTTAATGGACCACAGTTCCTAGTTCTTGACGCTAAATTCTGGCCTGTCGACGCTGAAGGCCTCGAACCCACTAGAGAGGAGCTGAGGGCCAATTTCGTAGGTTATCATGGTACGGGGCAGCAAGAGCGAAAGACCTTGGTAGCGTATGAACGCTTTTCGCGGTGGACTCGTCTCCTGCGAACAATTGCGACTGTTGTACTGAGTCTCCGCAGGTGGAAGATGTACAGCAAAGGTATATGAACACCCTGTCACCGGGTGGAACAAGAAGACCTCAATAGTGCCGAAAAGATACTTTGGAGAGAAGCCCAATACGAGGCATTCGCTGACGAAATCGCTCTGCTTGTGAACGGGAAACCACTAAACCGATCAAGTGCTATCCACAAGCTTTCACCATATCTGGATGAGGGATCATTGCTACGGCTCGGTTNGCGAACAATTGCGACTGTTGTACTGAGTCTCCGCAGGTGGAAGATGTACAGCAAAGGTATACGAACACCCTGTCACCGGGTGGAACAAGAAGACCTCAATAGTGCCGAAAAGATACTTTGGAGAGAAGCCTAATACGAGGCATTCGCTGACGAAATCGCTCTGCTTGTGAACGGGAAACCACTAAACCGATCAAGTTCTATCTACAAGCTTTCACCATACCTGGATGAGGGATCATTGCTACGGCTCGGTGGCAGATTCAATTTGCCCGGATGTCAGGACCAAGTTATATTGCCACGATGCCACAACATAACTCGACTGCTGGTTTTAGACTACCATATCAGATATAGCCACCGGAACTCGGAGACCGTTGTGAACGAGATACGCCAGAAGTTCTGGATTTCCCGACTACGCGCCGTGGTCAAAAAGATTCGCCAGGAGTGCCAGATCTGTCGACTCAAAAACGCGTCCCCACGACCACCAAAGATGGGCGACCTACCCGCGGCCCGAGTTACTCCCTTTGTCCGCCCGTTTTCATACGTGGGTGTCAACTACTTTGGACCATTGTTGGTGTCCGTACACAGGAGCACGGGNGTTACTCCCTTTGTCCGGCCGTTTTCATACGTGGGTGTCGACTACTTTGGACCATTGTTGGTGTCCGTACGCAGGAGCACGGAGAAGAGGTACGGCGTGCTCTTTACTTGCCTGACAACGAGAGCGGTTCACTTGGAGATAGCGTACTCATTATCTGCCGATTCGTGTATCCTGGCCATTCGGAGTTTTATGGCCAGACGCGGCGTCCCACGTGAATTTTGGGGTGATTTTGGCCTCCNAGCGGTTCACTTGGAGATAGCGTACTCATTATCTGCCGATTCGTGTATCCTGGCCATTCGGAGTTTTATGGCCAGACGCGGCGTCCCACGTGAATTTTGGAGTGATAACGCCACCAATTTCAAGGCCACACAGCGGGAACTCAGTGCTTCCTTTAACGAAATGGACAAGGACAAGCTTGTACGCGCCTTTACGAGCTCTTCCATGAAGTGGATGTTCATACCACCAGCATCGCCACACATGGGTGGTGCCTGGGAAAGGCTAGTTAGGTCGGTAAAAGACGTCCTTTCGAAGATACTACAGTCGCAGCGACCGTCTGATGAGCTATTGCGAGGAGCCTTAATGGAAGTCGAATCCATCGTCAACTCCCGACCACTCACCTACATACCGCTGGATCACTATGAAGACGAGGCTCTCACACCAAATCACTTCTTGATTTGCAGCTCCAGCGGAATGAAGCCCTTGATAGAGTTTGTTGATGAAGCAGTTCAAATGCGAAGAGGTTGGAGATGTGCTCAGCAACTGGCGGATGCATCCTGGAGACGTTGGGTGCGCGAATATCTACCCGTAATAACTCGGCGAACAAAGTGGTTCGAAAAGGTAAAGCCAATTGAAGAAGGGGACGTTGTCTACCTAGTGGACCCGAACAGTCCGAGAAGCTGCTGGCCCAAAGGTCGAGTGATCTCTGTTAGAGTAGGCTCTGACCAACAGGTGAGGAGCGCTTTGGTGAAGATTAGCGCTGGTATATATGAGCGACCGGCCACGAGACTTGCCGTACTTTCCGTGAGTATACCGGAGA